GGAAAGGGGGACTAATGTGGCTGCCAGGGAGCAGCACCCCCTGCCCCAGCAGGGTCGGCAAGGCGAGCAGGTGGCGGGTTTGTCCCTTGTAAGGGCACAGACCTTCCTGTTGCCGTGGCTGCTGGTGAATGCCAAGACATCTCGGGAGCAGCTGGAAGCGGGACCAGAGTCTCTGTTTATGAGTCACAACGTTCTGGTGGTCGTTAACTGAGCAGGCAGTCCTAGGTGTCATGATACATGAGATAAGTCAGACTCTTGGGGGTTTTTTAAATTATTTTTTGTATTTTTCCTCCTGTTCTTCTTCAGAACAACTGTATTCCCCCACCATTCATTTGAATGTTCATGGGACCCTCGCCTGAGAACAGAAACCCAGTTTAAGCAGCTGAGGATGCCAGGGTGAAACCCCCGGCTTTGCCTCTGTGCTCATCTCTGTTTCAGGAAAAAGCTGCATCGTCTTCAGATGTTTCTTATTTCCTTTGAAAACGTAGCTGTACCTCCAGCACGCAAGCTTTAGCAGTGAGCTGTTGGAGTCAGTGAGCAGTTTAAAAGATGGAGTTATTGCAGCTGTCAGAAGAAAGCGGGTATAGAGTTTCTCATCTGGAAACAAAAGCACAGGCTGGTCCACCTGTTCCCTGGGGAATGCTCTGCTCATGTAACTGGTATGTAGGAAAGAAAGGCACTGCGCAGCTAATCACGCTCGGACCGGGGAAAATCAGAAGTCAGGAATGTTTTCTTAGTTTTAGGTAATGGATGGAATATTTAGTTGACGTTCAAAGCGACAAATACACTCCAAGTAAAAATATGATTGGTTGTTTTCATCTGTTAGAAAAAGACCATACAGCTGCATCAAGATAATTGGGCATTAATATGAGTATTTCGCGTTCTCTTTTCTTTGCCTGTTCTTTAGCTGTTTTTTTTTTTTTTTTTGAGACTTGGACTGTTTCCACCCTTTTCCACCTCTGCTACAGCTTTATCTCTTCAATTTTTATTTTTTTTTTATCCCCCACCCCAAGAAAGTAAAGATTTACACAAACCTATGAAGTCAAAGCACATTTTAGGAAAGAAATTATGAGAGCTGACTGGGAGGTGTGGACCTGAGGGAAAGGCGTGCGGGGCCAAGGTCTCTCCCAGGCTGTGCCTGGGGGACAGGAGGAGCTGGGGGGGGACCCATCCCAGCAGGCAGGCAGAGGCCTCACTCCAAGTCAGGGCAGCAAAATAGGGTGAGGCTAGGTGGGTATCTCACCTTGATAAAGCCCCCCAACATCTTCTCTGGAGCAGTTTTCCTGAGGCTGGTGTGAATGGTTTCCTTGGGATTTTTTTGTGTTTTTTTTCCCCCTAGAGCGCTGTTCTGAAATGATCCTGTACCATTGCTTTGACCTCCATGAAGCCCAGATCCCTCGCAGTGACAGCTGGCTGTTTCCTCCACTCCCTTCTCTTGCCTTCTCCGGCCGTTTCCCCTCATGTTCTGTTCAAGGGTGTCCCTCCTGCCGGCCGGCTGGCTGCTGAGGTGCCAGTATGCTGTGTTGTGCCTCCACCCTGCCCTCGAGAAGTCTCAGAAACCCAAGGAGCTGATTTTTTAGGGTTATTTAGTCCTGTCACGCTGCTCATAATTGGTCAAGATGGGAATTTTTAGAAGGGGTAGCAGAGATGTGGGGGAGTCCTGACGTGCTGCTTCCCTGTCCCTTTGTCCCGGCGGCAGGAGCTGCTGCGCCTCCTTCACGTGCCGTTGCACGGTGCTGGGGTAGGCGCTCATTTCGAGGGCCCTTTATGGAAGCAATACACTAAAATGAAAATCCCCGTGGATTTTAGTTGTCTGGCACTCTGTATTGCAGTTGAAAAAATGGTTAAAATAATTCCCAAGAAGCAAATAAAATAGTTTTCTTGATTTGGTTATACGACCTTCTGTAAAATAATGTCAGTCAAAGTTCTAGTTGGTAAATTATGGGGGGTTTTTTTGCAGTATGCAATCGTTAATTCTGGTGATTTGGCTTTTAGGTCCTACTTTGCATACCAGTAGCTGGCTTTTGGAAGCAGTGGTGTTTTAGACACTCTCTTTAGAATTGCACCAATTCGGGATGCATCTCTACAGTGCAGTTTTTCCACATTCTTCATAGGACCCAGCAGAGCCTGTGGAAATCATGGAGTGATCCATCCACTGAAGGCAGACCTTTAGTTTTTAAGTCAGTACAATGATATACTGAATCCAATTTAAAAACACCATTAAAATTGAAATTCTGCACTTCCAAATTTTAATTTTAAGCTTTCCAGTGACCACAATGCATTTTTTAAATTGTGAAAATACTATTTTTTTAAAAAGGCATGTTGAGACATTTATGAAAATATTGCTAGGCTTCCTAAATTATAAAGTGCAGACATCTGAAGTATGAAATGACTCCACCTGCCTCATTGCTCTTACTAACCAGTCCAAAATAATAATTAAAAGTATTTGCTCTTGGCAAGAATTTGCATTGCATTAACTTTTCCCACTCCTCCTCAGAATGAACATTAAAGGCAAGGCCCAAAGCTTGTGCTTTCACTGACTAAATTAGGCTAAATATTTTGTAATACAGAACCATTTCGTGAGCAGGCTGCATGTGAAGTGTGACTATTGATATCCTCAACTGCTCCTGTTTTTCTGCCTTCTTTTGCCCTCTTTTCTCTTATGGCTGTTTTTCCGAAGCCACCTGCCCTCAGCCAGCCTTTGAGGAAGGAGCAGCAGCTCCGGACCAGCCTCGGGAGATCAGCCCTTAGTGCCAGAAGCAGCAGTGAGCCACCGCCATTTCGGGGCAGCATCCAGTGATGCTGAAGAGTTCACAGCACCTAAGAGACTTAACAGTGTTTTGGTTTGTTTCCCTTTTTCTGGCCAGGTTTAATAAATATTTCAGGATAGATGGATTCCCGTGCTGCTCACAGCAGCTGGACCTCCTGCGCAGGCTCAGGTGATACTCCGCTTTCTGTGGGGTCTGGGAGTGGGGCAGGGCTGATGTTTTTGGCACAGCTCCTGCAGCCGGTTGCAGCTTGGCAAGTCCTCTGCGAGCCCCTACCCCCAGGCCTCCAAGGCAGAGCCAAAGGAGGGGGACGTTTCCTTCTTGTCCCTGCTCTCCCAAGCAGACAGTTCCCGGATGTGCTTTTCCATATTTCTCAACTGAATGAAAGAGCCCCCTCTTTAAAACCACGGTGGGGAATAAAGCATGAGTTAAGGAACGGACTCAGATTCCTAGCGTGGCCCTTTCGCGTTGCCCGTGGCCAGGCGGGGCTGTACCTTGTGCCACAAGGAGGAGGGCAGGCTGTGGGCACCCAACCACACAGCTTACCGAGTCTGCGTAGCTGTCAGGGAGAGCAGTTCCTGCTCTGCCTTCCCCTCACCCCAGCTGTGACACATGTGGAGTTTCAGCACAGTGAACAGGACTGGAGGAGGGGGCTGGTTTTGGGAGGAACCGAGTTTCCTGCTTCCCGGTGAGCCCAGAGACAGGAGCTGCTCCCGCAGCAGCTTCCTCCCCGTGGGAATCACAGAGAGCATCGCTCCAGGGAAAGCACCCCGAGGGCAGGTGGTCCAGCATCTCCCAGCGACCAGGCACACCCCTCGGGAGGAGGCCCTTGTAATGTTAGTAACAGCATGTGAGCTTTGTCCCTCTCGCCCATTTTTCTCCCTCATGAAAGGGGTTGTTTGGCTACACGGTGGTGTTTGAGTTGTCTGGAGCGTTTATTGCTTTGTCGGTGGGTCTTGGGGGTTCTGCCCTGCTGGCGTGGGGGTGACGGGGGAGCCAGGGCCCCTTGCTGCCTCCATCCTGCAGCTGCAACCTTCACTCCTAAGTTCCCTGATGGGGCCTTGGTCTGTTTCTCTTCTAGTTAAGCAGCTGATGATAATTGCCAGTTAGCTACGAGGCTGTAGTACCATCAGGCTCTGGATATTCAAACTAGCCACGCAGTAGGATAGAAGAGCACTGTCAGTAAAACAGAAGATTTAAGTCTGATCGAACTACTGTTGTTTGGGTTTTTTTTCACCCAATTTGTTTTTTAAAATTATATTGAGTCTTGAAAAGTGAAGTGAGGATATGGGAGAAGCTCATGAAATCAGAGAGTCTGGCTCATGGATAATGAAGAACTGGCTGTACTTCTTAAGCTGAAATTTAAAAAAAAACAGCTCTTGGCAGCTGTACAGGTGAACAGCTGTTTTATGATTTAAACATTTTGTTTGGTTCAACCATGTTCAGGGTAGAGGCTTTCCGTGACGCAGCATCTGCTATGGAACAAGAGAAAGAAATCCTGCTAGAAATGATCCACAACATACAGAACAGCCAGGATATGAGGCACATCAGTGAAGGTGAGAAGCTGCTTTGCCATTCCCTTCCAACTGGCCCAAAGGCAAGGCAGCCCGTGCCTTAGGGAGCAGCTGTCTCTGTGCGTGCTGCCGGTAAAGGGACAGGCAGTGGGGCCAGCTAAGGTTCCTGAAGGGCCATCCGTTACCCTGGGAGCCCCTTGTTCTTGACTGTATTGACATGCTGCTCAGCTGGGGGGTCTGCCATGCACGTCGCTGCTGTCTGTGTGACAGCCCATACTCAGTTCACTGATTTGTTTTCAAAATCAGGGTTAATACAGCTCAGCTGAGGGAGAGAAGTTGTTGATAATTATGATGATGATTAAATATTGTGGAAAAACCAGCATTTTAATGGCTTTGACTGCTGGACAGGCATCAGTGCTACAAAGTAGACGGCCTGCAAAAACCTCATGAATTAACATGGTTGTCATGGTTCTGTGATATATGGCTTTAAATATATTCCCTACAGCTGTATGTTTTATATTAGGTGCTTTAAATTGCTGCTTTATTGGCTCTTCAAGAGCTTACATGTCAAATATGTTGTGTCCATATTTTAGGAAAAAACTTTAGTTTTCAGAAAGTAGAGAACCAGTTTTTTCATGGCCCCTAATTGCATCTGGTAGTCAGAAATCAGTTTTCTCTTTATGGCCTTTTGGGGTGTTGTCTACATCTCTCCCTCACAGTGGCACAGAAGGTCCTTAATGTGCCTGTTCTGTTATGAATAATATTTCCTGATAACGTTGCATGCTTTGCTTTAACGTGACACAGCAAGCATTGTGTCAGCAGCGGAAAAGCATTGCTTACATTTTTAGTAGAGATTAATGCCTCATTTGGAATCAGAAGACACTAGCTTCTGTGCAGTAAGTAGGACTTAGGCAAATGCAAAAAACTCATTTCTGGCCCCTGGAAATCCTGTGGATTGACATTGACTTATTTGAAAAAACAACCGTGTTTATTGCGAAGTTGTAGCAGTTTGATTGTCTCGCTGATGTTATTTGCACAGAAAAGTATTCACCTGTAACCTAGAACACTTTCTTGTTTTCAATTTAGGTGAGAGAGAAGAACTGAATTTGACTGCTAATCGTCTGATGGGCCGAACCCTCACTGTGGAGGTTTCTGTAGAAACCATCCGAAACGTTTTTTTTACTGCATGCCACGAAGATGATCGATGAGATTGTTAATAAACTTCTAGATGATTTGGAAGACGCCAAAATCCGCTTAATGTCACTTTACGGTGCATGCACATCTGATGTGCCAGCAGGACCCATCGATCAGAAATTTCAGTCTGTGGTAATCGGATGTGCCATTGAGGATCAGAAGAAGATCAAAAGGCGGTTAGAGACTCTGCTCAGAAACTTAGAAAATTCTGAAAAGTCAATCACGTTGTTGGAGCATCAGAAATCATCTGTTCGACAGTCTTGCAACAGCAAACAGGATTAAGCTGTCCTCCTGGCTGCTTCTGGCAAATCGCAGGATGAGCAAATCTCCATAAAAAGCACACAGAAGCTAAGAAAAAAATTCTCTGTACAAGCACACGCGTATTTACGCATGCACATGCACCGAAGTGTCTTTGATTGCGAGGTGCAAGCATTTAAGGGGTTTTGGTAGCATTGGCATTTTCTTTTGGCAATAATGAATGCTATCAGTTCTCCTGTAGAGTTGATACTGCTCCATTGCAAATTGTAATTGTGCTTCTGCTGAACTGTCAGAAACCATCAAAATCTAGCCTTTCCTCCATTCTCCTGGGGTTTTTTAAAAGTTGTTTTGTCATGTAGTGATATTTCATCTTTTCTCTGCTGTATACATAGTGTGTGAACCAGACTTTTGGGGACAAAATACAAGTCAAGGCAATAAATCAAAAACATTAATAAACTGTACATTGTATTTTCATAAACAACACACTGTCCTACTCATTACCATTTATCATTTTTAAGAATTTGTCACGGTTCATAAGTAGATCACAATACTTTCAAGAGACAAGGTACCTCTGGATCATAACTGGAGACGTGAAAAGCAACACCTCCCTCCAAAGGTCACAGCCAAGGCTAGAAATGAGCTCCAGCGCTCACTATACACCCTTCCACGCCTGCCCAGTGACCCATCCTGCCTCCTACCATCTACCTGTAGTTTGAGGCTGCTGTGTTTATTTTCCAAAGATACTGTGAAGGGGAATTCTATTTTATGAGCTACTATTCCGCAGATTTGTTTTGCATCATCATCTGTGAAGCAACAGAGTGAGACAGTTGGATTCTCAATTGGCAGATCCCACATTTGTTTCTTGTGTTGGATGACAGTGCACTTTTTAAGTTTAATGTTACTTACTCTTTGGGTGAGTGGGGTTGGTTTTTTTTCCCTCTTCCACCCTCTCACGCCCTATAATTTCTGCTCATCATCACCATGCTCCAGTGGCTATGGGTCAAAAGTTGCAGATTTTAGGGTGGGCCTGGAGGTTGCAGTCGAAGTTTCAGCACTGAGATTGCTAAAAGTTCCTACGACTTTAGTGAGATTAATTCTACAATTCCATTTTAGAAATAACTAGTCTATTTTAATATATTTTAGACCCTTGGGAACTTTAACAAGAGAAGTAAAGCTTCCAGCTATTTAACAGCATTAAGCCTCTTGACACTGATTTACAGCAGGGGGTGTTCTCAGAAACCATGCTGTGAAATAGTGATGTTGAACATGGCTTATTGATGCTTAGACTATTCCTTCAATATTTGTTTTTTTAAAGGCCATTTTAAGGTTATGGAGGCCAAAAGTGATTGTTTTCTTTTTTAGATCCTCTTCACTGTACCAACAGTTAAAAGTATTTTCTTACAGCACTTGTACAAGTGTTTTTGTTTTCAAGGACAAAATACAGTGATCACAACCTGCTTGACAGATGAGTCAATAGTGGAGATTAGACTTATTTTGACCTAAGTTACTGGTTTATTTTTCAAATTTTCTCCTGTTTGCCTTCCATTTTCCTAAATCCTGTGTTGCCTGACCCACAGGAGGTCGGCAATACAGCCATCACTACCCTCACCGATGCTGTAAGATTGCATACTGACATACCACATCCATTAAAGTTCCCATACATGTGAATAATCTGCTTTTTAAAACTAATGATACTGTCCTTAAAGTTTCTTTCACACAGTCATACCTGTAAGACACAGCAAAAGACACCTTTTTTTTCCTTGCCTAAAACATTGCTAATTAATCCTTACAGGGGTGTTAAGCAAGCAAATTGCTCTTCTGTGTGCAAAACTGCATGCAAGGGGAAGCAGGAGGAGATTACTTCCCACATTCCTTAAATACCTGGGTAAAGAGGCAGACACAGGTGCTGAGCTGTGTTTCACTAAAAAAAAAAAAAAAAAAATCATCAGGCATCTTTGATACATTAGGGATATTTTAATGCCACTTCCAATGTCTACAACCATTCACTTAAACCTTGTCACGGTATTAGCCGGACCAATCATGAAAAATAAAATGGCCAGAGAGAGCAGAACAGAATCCGTATTTTGTATTTGAACTGTGTGGCGAAGAAATCAGAGGTGAGAGCTCAGAAACAGCATTTCTATTAGACTGGGGTGCCCACACTTGGTCCTTTGAGAGTATCTAACATGCTGCCTTGGATCCCAAATGTTCACAACACATGGACTAGAACCACGCACATTAGCTTCTTGAGCAGATTCAGGTCGCACAGCTACAGGGTTAGAGCAATTTTTTTAAATTTAATACACTGACAATTGAATATAAACACAGAAGTAGTGACTGAACAATAATCAAATAAATGATCATGTTCAAGTTGCGTGATACAACTAATGTCACTTACCAGAGAACAGCAGAATTAACTCACAGGGATTTTACAGGAACGGCATACACAAAATATTCCCTTTTAAACATTTATTTTTCCACTTGAGGATTTACAGTAAGTTGAATTTTTTTCTAAAAATATATTACATTTTCTTGAGATCATGATGGTGATAGAAACAGTTATGTGCACTATCTGTTTTTAGCATTCAGATTCACGTGAACTTGCAAATATGAGTATGTCATTTATTAGTAATGATGCATCTTAATCCTCACCATGAGAGCAGCATTTCTGCTGGTCCAGATGAATTTTTATTTTTTTTGACCAACACAATGAGAGTGGCATTTCTCCTGGTCCAGATTAATTTTTACTTTTTTTTTGACCAACTTTAGTCACTGCTGCTGAACTACACTTATCTTGGCAAGAGAAGAAAGAACACTCACTCCACAAATTATTTATCAGTCTTACCCTACTATTAGAAACCTGAGAATGAGTCTGGTTCCGTATTAGGACTCACCTGGCTTTGAGATGACTCACATAGAACACTTCTTTGCATGGAACTGTTTGAAAGTTCCTCTTATTCTATGATAGCACCTTTCATCTTTAAGCATTGCTGCATTTCTTCTTCTATAATTTTGATTACCTATTTGGATGCCATATTTAATAGAGAGAAGTATTTTCTTCTGTTAATACTATCGGAGCATTAAAAAGAAGGTATGTACAACTGTTGCTACCTACAAAAAGATGGTAAGGTAGTTTTGATGAAATCAAGCTTGCTGGACCATGCTTGCTCTCTGGTTTACCTACAACTGGTGTTCAGGTGCTGCAACTTCAGCCAAAGGTCTGGGATTACATTTAGGAAAGCAGTAGGGGCTGAGGTACCATCACTGGAATCCAAGAACCATGCTTGGTCGTTCGCTGTATGACTAAGTTCCCTCAAGAGTTTTCCACAGTGCAAATCACTGATTCTGTTATTAACTGGTAGCTATGAATTAACAGGTTCAAAGTTCACGTACCCCTTCATAACCTCCAGGCAGTACAATGTGTTCAGCTGCTCAGTTCCCTTTAGTATAACATACATCTACAGAAGTGATGCAAAGGAAAACCATGTGTCAGCTATGCTGTAGCCCAGTAATGGAAGGGAAAAAAAAAAGTGACAAATTTTACTGAAGCATAACAAAATTAAACAGGAAATCAGACTGACAGTATGGTAATTCAGGCATGTTGACTAAAAAAGGTAACTGTTGCCTTAAGAAACACTGAAAATAAGAAAGCTCCAAAATTGTCTTAAGTGGAATAATTAATTTTTTTGTTAAATTAACCACACACACACAAGCACAAAAATCTTAGTGTGATCAGTATTACAACTTTGAGATTTGTTATTTCCAGTTGGAAATACATCCCTAGCATTACCACTTTGCATCAAAAGATGCCCCGCTTACTGGGAGAACACCCATTCACTGAATGGAGACAAGGCAGGAGTGACATGCTTTAGTGCCATGCTCTATAGTGAATACTTACTTCACTAAGGCATTAAAAATCACTTAAAGGCTTCTGCTAGTGGTAGCATTATCATCTGAAAGCTAAGAATTTTGGTGAGATTCAGATAATACAGCCAATGAGCTATTCAGGAGATTAACAGCTAAAATGGGAGTGCAATGAGCTTGGTCTCGCAGAAGAAAACTTTGTGTCTCGTGGTAGGAGCACGTGTTGCTCCTAATCCAGGACGCTGCTCTGCCACGGAGATCACAGAGATGGGCATTCTTATTACCAGCTCTGCACCTGTAGGTTTTGGTAACTAAAACATGATATTTTAATGAGAACGCTTTGAGTGGAGAATAGAGCAATGTTTGTAATAACAATTATTCACCAGGGACAATGCGAGTGCTAAACCTTTAGGCACGTCTCTCCATCCAAAAGGAGAAAGTCACACCCACTGAAAAGTGATGTGAATACCTAAGGATTCCTGCAGTATGCAAGTCATCTGGTTTACATCTACACACTAACCCCAGCAGGATAAAAAAATAGATTTTCAAGCAGCATACATGCAGAGTATTCCCCAGAAAAATGCTAATTTGGACAATCTCCGTCTCAGTCGTACTAGAGAGCAAGCACTGCAGAGTCACAACAAAGAAAGAGCCACTTTAGATTTGAGGTGGGAATTAAATGAAAAGTCACTGTTAGGCAATGCTGCAAATATATACTCCTACATTAAAGTATGTGTACTAAATTTCAACATATCCTAAATTTAGCAAGTCTGTCAAGTCTCCACCTATGAACGTTTCTGCTGAGTTTTCAGTCCTTAGAACAGCGGTTGATGACAGACCTTCAATACAAACGGCTTATGTAATAGCACAATGTCTGCAGTGTAACATGTGATAGTACAAACGGTCATTATACATTATAAAGACTTATTTTTCATCACTCTGTATGAAGTCACACAAGGCAAAAAAGATGTTTCAGACACTTTGTGGTTTTGTTTCTTTTTCAAGAAAAAGGAGTAAAAAATGTGAAACAGGCAGGCAGGCAATGAAATGTAAAAGTTTCCGTATTAAAAACAGTTGTCAAAATTCTTCATGCATACACTCTATCCTACATCCTGAAGTTGTAAGGTGGCCCCATGATGTACAATCGTTAAGTCTTATCCTAAGTACCTTACTTCTTAAATTGCTAAGACAGATAGCACTTGACTTCATTGTACATACATATAGTGATTAAATGTTAAAAAATAAAGACCTTTATCCACAATAAAATATAGGAAACATTACGGTGAAGAACACACAGTTCTGCTGCAACAGCAAAGGGGATCAAGTGCCTTGAAGGCTGCCTTCTTGCCAGCAACAAGAGATGCTTTAACAGGTTGTCAAAGAAACAACAGTACTCGGTAGAAAGGCTAATATAGTAAACAACATACAGAGTTCAGAGATCTTTTGTGTTTGTGCATAACTTGCCACCCACTTCTCTCCTTGCAGACAGTGGGGAAAAAGCACATTTCAGTTTTGATACTCATTGACTTAGAAACAAAGTAAGTCAAGCTTACAACATGAATTCACACAGTGAAAAGTCCTTCCTCCAAAAATATACATGATCACTCAACTCATTTTCATTCTCATACACCATTTAAAAAACTATTAAAACTCTGAATTTTTTCAAGCAGCATATTTTGCATTTGTCACCGGCAGTTTGTTGTAGAAATCCTAGAAAGTTAAAATTATATCATACCATACAAAAACATGTAAACAATATGGATATTTTTTAAAAGGCATGCATGCTCTTGAAGAGGATTTAAAAGTGTTTATTTTTGGTAAGTAAAAGATACCTTGCTTAACATTTTTAAAAGCACCTTATTGATTTAGAAGCCTAAGCCTAAATAACTTCAATTTAGATTTGGGCTCCTAAACATCTAAATCAATTCTGTAAAATTATTCAAGCACTTCGAAAAATTTTTGCCATGTCTCTGATCTTGCAGAATTTGATTTTCTGTAACCAGCAGCTAACTCTGAATCTGAAACAAGATTCAAGAATGTCTTATTAATGTAATTCAGTCATCAGCTGCATTTTTTTGGATCCTCCATAACTTAGTTTATGGTATCTATAAAAATTTTTTTCAAATAAGATAAATATTTTGTGACACCACTTTGCAAGTTCCTTTTTCATATACAACACAGGATACAACAATCAAATTTCAACAGGAATGATTAGATTGTACGTTCCTCCTGAATAGCTATTAGTGTCAAAGACTGTGTTATTTGTTCAGCCTGTTAAGAGTGAGAAAAACAAGCTTATAGAAACATATGTAGCACAGCATTAGGTAGAAAGAAGGAGCATTTTTGGCACCATACATTTTTAAATCTAAGCCTCTAGGCCCAAAGTATAGCAAGTTAAAACGTACCCTGTGGGAGCTGGGAAAGCCTCATCTGAAATGCAACATTTTAAAATTTTTTTTGGGAAGATGCTATTTTATGATCCTTTGCTGATCTCCAAGTAATGTATACATTGAAATTTAGCCTAAATATTCATACCAAAAGTTTACATATATACCTTAGCACTCATATATAGAACACAAGTATATTGTGCTGACAGAACTGCCAGAATCCATATTAATATAGTCAGGCACAAAATGTAGCATCTTCTTTTTGCTCTTCACTTATCTTCTTAGTGTCCTGACTAACCAATTCTAACATTTTCTTTGAAATTTAGTTGCAAGGTTGCTACTTTACCTTGGGCCATAGTGTTATGGTCTGTACCGATACTTGTAAGTATTAACCTTACGTTAAATGTGCTTTGCAATTCAGCAATACCTAGTTCATAGCTCTGTAAATAATTCCTTGAAAAAAGGAGAAGCTTGCCTAATTTCTACAAAGTGCACGGGGCAGACACAGTTCTGTGTTTGCCACCAGGTGTCTCACTCCACACACCAAAAAACACTGCAGCAGCAAGTTTGTATAAATCCACCCTCTATCAAGGATCCCTTAGGCATAGGATTTGCTAAAGCACTGGTAAAAATACCTCTACAGCTGGCTTTATTCTGTATTCAATTGCACAACTTCATCCAAGTCACTGGGTTGGCCTTTTTCCCTCCAAAAGTGGTCTAAGGTATGCTGCAGTTGCTAAAAAGACTCCTGTTTTTCTTGGTCCTCTGTTTGTTTGGTCTAAGGTTGATGACATCTCCACCATTAAGAGTGCTAGAATTTTGGTTGGAGTGACTTCCACCAGCTGTATTAAAAACACCTACAGAATTTAAAGACAAGAAAAGTTATTTATATTTCTTTACTTCCTGCAGCATAATACATTAACACTTAAGACACAACACTTACTAAGGCATAGCAGTGCACCTCAAATGCATACTCTAGTTTTTAAGGGCTTTATCTATTTCTGGGTCAATTTTGTAGCGACATTTGAAGCAGAGCCAGTTGGAATTACTAGCCAGACAGTATTTAAAAGCTAGTATACATCTATGTAATTGGAGGGCAGTATATGCACTCATCTGCGTATGTGTATGCTACTAATTGCATGGTAACAAAGTTATGGTTAGTTGAGTAATATAATAACAGAAAATAATGACAATTTTAAAGTTAGAAACTCTGCTGAGATAAAGCTAAGGAAAAAGCCTCGATAAAAAGGGAGTGCTTTAAGGAAAACAGATGAACTGACTCAGAAATGTTTTAAAGAAGGGCTACAGAAGTTCAGTGTTCCCTTACAAAAGGCAGTTTACAAAGACCTCCTCATTACATGCCAGATTCTTTCACCATGAGCCTCTTGTAAATCCGCACCAAGATGAGTAACACTAATACTAATTACATTAAAAAATCCAACAAGCTTCATTTCTCAAGTCCTTTCACAATGTTTGTTTAAACAAATTAATAAAAGGGCACTTGCCAAGCATTAGCTAGAAACTGTAGCACATCAGTTGGACAATCTTGTAACTTTAGAGTCACAAAGTTATTTTACAGAAGGAGCCAATCCCCTAAGATAGGAAGGTAACAATTAGACCCTGATTCAGCTTGTATTAACTCCACAAGGAAACAGATGAAACCATAAGCTTTGATGACACAAAATACTGTCTTCTCTTTTTTTTATTACAGTATACATACCAATCTTGTTACTGCTTGTATGTACTAGTTCTGGATCTTCTGCTGTTTGTTGCTTGAGCCTTTGAAGATATTTATCGGCCAAATACTTAAAAACTGTAATGTTAAAAAGAAAAAAGGTACATCAGAGTACGCTTTAAAAACAATCTTCATATCAATAATAATACCTTCATATCAAAATTCTGTGTGGTGACAAAAATGCACTCAACACCACAGGTTTAGCACACCCTGGTTAAATGACTCTCTCAAGTGTACCTAAGCAGAATCCAGATCAGTCCAATGTCTACCCAGGTCTCACAGTTTGCAGTACTAGGGTTCTGCACAACAGACAGAAATATCTCAAAACTCCTGTAATAAAACTGGCACATACATATTGCCAGATGTTCCAATTCATGCAACTGGGGAACTTTTAAAAATTACGTAGGAATTTAATATATATTATTTTTGCAAGAAGCCTTAGAATAATAGCAGCTGTGTAAAGTAAGGCTATTAATAAAACTTGGCAGCAACACTGTTCCAACTAACTAATGCCACCCTCATTTGTATTAGGGTATAGAAAGTCTACCTAGGATTCTGAAAAAAATCTACAACTACATGAGAATTTTCAGAACCTATATACGTTACAACTACTCACATTTATAATTAACAGCTCATGATACTGAAACTTTTTACATTTTCTCTTGTAGATGTTTTTTTCCAAGGTGAATGATGTTAACAGAGGAGAAGCAATTGGTTTACTAGTAAGTTTGCCTGATTAAACAAACGTAAGTTATCAGAGACAATAATTCAGGATTATTCAAACCTATCCCACAAAAGACAGTGACTGAATTTTACAGCAGTAGTCTTATGAAATTAAATATATACATTAAAAAGTGATATTTGGGAACTAGTAAAATATAATTAGTAGACAAAAGGCTGCAAGAGATCTAATCTTTCAATGTACTTTATTTAAATATAACAAAACTATGAAATAACTGTTTATATCAATTATTTATTAACTAATAACAATTACAACGTAAACTGTTCAACAATTTGTACATTGTGATAACTGAACTTCTACATATTTGTTTAAAATCTCAGTGCTTACTGACAGTCATTAGGACTAAGCAGCCTTAACATGTTGGCCCTTCTAAATATTGCAGTGATGCACTGTTTGTGGAAAAGAAAGGAAAGACGTACACACAGAAACGGGCCTAACACACTGATATCACACAATCCTAGCTATGGTTACACTGTGCTGCTATGAAACAGAAAAAGGGTCACCAACAGCATGCAACAACACGGGAAGTAACAGATCAGCTCCAGAGTAGAGAGATGTACACAGCCAAGGGCAGGACAGTCACCTGCTCTCCTGTATCTCGTACCTTCAGTTACGTTTAGGTCTTCCTTCACAGATGCTCGGTAGAACCTTAATTTTAGCTTTTTTGCCAGTGCTTCTGCCTCTTCACTGCACAACAGAAGATGACTTTGTAAACACTAGTTTGTATTATTTGTCAGCATCTATTCTTATACAAAATGCTTTGTGGTAAGTTAAATATGGCAAGGTGGGTTAAGAAACTCAGTCACAAAATACCTGATCTTTAATTTCTTTACAATATCTCCACTAGAACAAGAAGGTACTTTACATGCAGTTTCCTTATGACCAAAAGTAATTGCTTTTCAATATTTATTGACTTAATTAAAGAAAATTTCCCAAGGGTTTGAAGACAAGTGTCAGTGAAACCAAAAGGAAGGAGGCTGTAATTAACAGCACTAGAATCAGAACAACTACCACTGCAAAGTCAAAAGAACAACAAAAAGTAATCCTTAAGTATATTTTAACAAAGCAGCAGATGAGTGCAGAGATGAAATCAAGAATTACTTTTTTCTGTGAAGTGAGAGAGAACTTGTGCTAAATTCTACGGAAAAGCTGACAAAACTCATGAAAATTTCACCAAGGCAAATCATGTCATCAGAAACATGAAGTTACTGAGGCAGATGGGGTATTTTGAGAGCAAAACCTAAGTGACATACCATGAACAAAGGAGGAGTTCAAACGCAATTTTGCTTTTCCTTTGAAAAATCCTCAGTATTCTTTGCAGAGGAAGTAGAAGCTGATTTATGCCATCAATGATAGCAAACAGAGAACAAAGAAAGCCAGTCCAGGAAACAACAAAAATAAGAAATAATTTAAATCTCTTGGGAAGACAGCAGAAATAAAGAAGTGGAGAATGATCAACTTAATCATGCAATATTTTCTACATGATACACTGTAGTAAATAAAAGTTAGCATTTGTTAAGGTGATTTTATAGCAAGAATGAAATTGGTCATATATACAAAAGCTGAATGAACTGACAGTAAAATCTGTAAAGAAAAAACAGGGAAGAAGGATCAGCACCATGCAGTTTGAGAATATTAACAGACAGGCACTTCTATAGAGTTATGCTTTGATAAAAATGAGCAATAAAAACAAATTAAAGAAAAGCAAAGCAAAGAATATTAAGATACTTTTTCAAACAACATGTTTAATACTTCCTCACCATTTTAGCAAGCATTCACTAGCCAAACTAGACAATGTAACTCCACTGGTGCACAGCACAGTTTAACAGTAACTGTAAATTTTAATAGGAGAGAAAATTTACAGTTTTAGAATTTCTGAATAAAAAAAGAAAAAAGAATCATATAATGGCACAACCAAACTCTTCATGCTATTCCTCTATTTTTGGACTGACATTTCAGGAGAAGGCATGAAACAAACAGAAAGCTCCTACCTTGGCAAGCACTTCTCCCCAAATAACTACATTCATGCAGCAATACCTGTCACTGTGCTTCTGGGGCACATTCTGACGCAGGGCATGGGTTTGACAAACCAGATATCAAGTCTTCACAAGAAACTCCCATAATTTTTTTTTTACATGTGTGTACACTGGGGCACATATTGTTGTTCAAAAACAGTAAGATAAAATTCCTACTTCTTTATACAGGAGTCATCGAGAAGATCAATCTTATTCTGCACAAGAACTGTGGGAATGTCTCCAACTTCAGTCGTGACTTTCTCCTTCCAGGAAGGGATTGCTTTGAAGGACTCTCTGTCAGTTGTAGAAAACACAAGAACACAAGCCTGGGCTCCTAAAAACATACAAATCAATTACAAATACAAATAAATACAAATCAACCAACAAAGATTAAAAAAGGAGAATCACATATAATATATTTCAAATATGACTTTCCAAGTTTCTCCCACAGAAGTGCAGTTTTACCATCAGCTTGTGTCAAACCAATGGTCATAAATTCCCCAAATTAAAATAGACTGCCATATTATTTTGGTCATTATACCTATTCCTCATGATGGCAACAGGTCTGTTACCTTTCAAGCTATTTCTGGCATGGTGCCTGTATGCAGGGGAAAGAAATAGGAGGGAGTGGGGAAAGGCTGGAAAAAGGGAAAGGGAGGTTTGCTTTTTGCTCAGTTTTACAAACAGCTTAATGGAGGCTAGAAGGCAAATACTCTTCCATATGCAGTATCTGTAAAGCACACTTCATGTTATTCTTTGTGCTACAGTAATTTGGATTTTAAAAAGCAGAAAACTTAGTTTTCAGAGAAAGCTGTGATTATTTCAAGCAAATAGTTTAGTAGCTTTTTGGAGAAAATAAGTGTCTTTCTAATTCATACTCATTCTATCACAGCACTACGATAAACTATACAAAATGTTTTGTACCATTTTTGTTACAGTTTTGTAACAGCACACAATAGTTAAAACCCATGGATACTGAGAAGGTACTTCCACACTTGAAATATTAGTGAGTGGTCTTTCTGACTGTTATTTGATATTCAGTAACAGAGCGTAAAAGGAATAGATAGCTAATGTCTTTGAGACTCCAGTGTTCTCTTGTAACAAATATCCCAAACCAATTACATGTAGCATGAAAAATTATTTCATCAGTATGAATTTTCTTTTATCTATGAGTTTCGCCAAGCGTCCCCCATTCCTGTACTCTGTCTTTGTATTTCTTTGAAACAAAGCACTCAAATTCTTTTATTAGGTTTCCTTTTATTGATCTTTTCAAAGCCAAGTTCAATCTATCTTCACAAAAGTTTTCCTCTGCTCTTTAACATTTTTTCCACATGCCATTAAGATCCTTTTGGTGTGGTTTTATACAGAATAATAAATGCCCTCAGAATTTCAAATCAAGCTCTACCAATAAAACAGTAGCAATGTAGTCTCCTATATTTTTTCCCATTACTTGTGTTCTAGACTTTTGTTTGTTTTTCCTAATATCCACAACATATTCTAATATATGCAATTCTTCTAATGCAATTCCACTTAGAATCCTGTGAGGTAGGTGTAAAATTACTCCTACCAAAGCAGGTTACTTTGCATTTGTCAAGTATTAACCTTAAATATAACCTATTGTCTCACAGTCTAGCTTAATAAAGCCTCTCAAGTTCTTTGCTCTGCTGGGGATGAGAATATTTATTAAAAGGCTCTCACTGTCTGTAGACATCATTTTGTTCAGCTTTAAGACTAAGAAATCCATTCTGAAGTTTCCACTCTAAGGCACTTTCACTTCATCTCTCCTTCCACCCATCCCTTCTCAATGCTAAAACATGGCAATAACTTGGTAATAGGAAGTTTAGAAGGACAAGTCCTGGTCTGTGGTCGGTAAAAAGGAGGTGACTTACAACATCAGACCTCCTTATTCAATTTAGATAGAATATATATAGAATGCAGTGGATAAGGACAGTAAAAATAACTCAGCTTGGCCATACTGCTTTTTGAAGAGAATTACACGATAGGCTTTAATTAGGAATCAAATTGAAATATTTTTGAGGATGTTAAAGATTGTGACATTTAAAGGTTCTTACCAGGAAGTTAACAAACAGTAAACGCAAGCATCTTCTCATCAAGTGATACACCTGTGTCTCAACAATTAAAATCCTATACATACATCCTGTGTGTAATTGTGTATTTCCAAATGTCTGCTGAAGGTTTTGATACTGGATTATAAGAAATATCAGAATTTGCTATCCAATAATCCTGCCAAATGCTTATTTAAGAAGAGAAGAACAAAAGAAGTATTCTTCTCACGCTCAATTCAAAACAATATAAAATGGGATCTTTCTGAAAGCATGCTTCAGTACAGTGCAGAACTTAGTATGGCAACAGAGTTCACCAGAAGATGCTGCAGGACAGAGATGTTACTGGGTAAATTATTTTCATCTTCTAAGAATATTGCTAAATACTATACATTTTTTTGAGAACATAAGTTTAAGAAATTATAATGTCTATGTAGGAGCTTTAAAGAGAAAAAAGAAAAAAGAAAAAAGACAAAAAACAGGATTTAGGCATTGAAACATCTTTCTGTATGTAGTAACTAATAGTATTCAAGAGTCCATAAAATTACTACCTCTACTCCAAACGGAGTCATATCACCTCTATCATACAACAAATTGTGTACAAAAGACACCAGAGGCAAAGGCACAGGACAGTGTCAGACTGGAGCATAACAGCTAAAACCAGGATGTTATAGATGAATATTTTAAATCAAAGTTATTTTGTAAGAAGCTGTTTCATAAAGCTACTTCAAAGTACTGAAGAAAAGGACATGGGATGTTTTGTGCAATTAGTGCTTTGATAACCCCTCAATCTTTATTTTAAAAAGGTTCCAGCTGGCTGCAGGATCACTGATACGATATTCATACCTAGATTCATTCAGAAAAAAAGTCAGAGTAGCGCTAGCATCTCTACTTGATTCAAGTAAAGCATAAGCTTGTCAGCTGAGTAGGTCTCAAAGATCCTCAGCAGCCTATCCCATCCTCATAGACTTTGTAACCTTATTTTCTCCTTTCATAATCGTACAAAGCCTATTTAATCAATTATATGTAAAGAAATTCCTCACCATGAGTGGACTCACATAGGGCTTTACACTTGGCACCTATTCATTTCACTCTTCTGTTCTTTGTCTCAGCTTTTTCAGGCTGTGACAGAAAACACACGTTCACTAGAAAATTGATGGTGGCTCCTTCAACCTTAAAACTGAGATAAAATGCAAGGACAAATGACACTAACATCCAGAAGTTTTTGATTACTGTTGGTGTTCTAACTGCTGTGGATCCTGGCTGTCTTTAACAGGCTTAGGAGGGCTCACTAACAGTATCCAAAAGAGGGCTGCTTTTCTCCAAATTGGATCAGAAGAGCCTTGCAGCCCTCTCGTTATCACAGTTACTATAGCTGAAAGTAGCTGACAAGTGCAAGCTAGAGCAGTGCTATGAATGCCTGAGAAATATGAAATCTAACTACTGTGCAACAAAATGAGGAGCCTCAGAATTTGACTGATCAGCACCTCAATAACAGACTAATAAGGAAGAGGTCTGTTTTCCATCAAAAACCTAACAAGGGTCTACTCAAGATACCAGTGGTAGCAGATGAAAGAAGATGCACACACAAAAAAGTGATCAAATACTGCTTTGAGAAACATATGTAACATGGACAGAACACATGGGGCTGCTAATGACAGCCACTTGTGCATGTGCTTAGCATACAAACGAAGTACCTAGCCTATTAGAAAATGTGTGACTTCCATTGGATAGAAACTGGTAAGATGCATGATACGTTACGAAAAAGAAACTACAAAAAAACATACAGAGCTGCCTTCAACTCTTTGAATTTAGGCTGCTGGATTCCTTGCGTTGTGTGATCACGGCTGTGCAGCTACACCGGCTGCACACATTCACCTGTACATAGAAACCCACATGACAGATCCACTGTCAGCTCCAATTCTGTTTCTCTGCGAGGCTGAATGAATTTGGTCCCTGGACAACAAGGGCTCAGAGACAGGCTCTGAAGCATTCATTGTGTGGCCATGGATGAGCAGCTGATCCCTGAAGAACTGACAATACACAAGGTTCCAGGGGAGCATGTAAGCCCCAATGTAATGAGAGTGGGACAGTGACCCGCGTGAGAGGCAGATCTTGAAGTAATAGCCAGCATCTATCTTACCTACCTTAGAGGCATCCTCCCCTCAACAGCACTAATTGGCAAGAAAATCCTTGCATTTCCAAAGGAAGCTTGACCTTTTGCTTCTATAATATTGTTCTTGCAGACCTGATGCTAAACCAAAATTGCATTCCAGGCTCTTATAATCTCTCTTGCCCTTCATGCGTCAAAGTCTAGTACAGAACACTCGCTGTATCTAATAGCCTGAACTGGTAATGTAACAGCTTGTCTCTGTAACCAGGAGAAAAAGACTTTGGTTTGGAATAACTGAAGAGAGCAAAGCACACAAGAGAACTGAAGGCCAGGAGAGTAAAAATGACACTCCAAGAGAATCAGGCACTACCTTCTAAAATTCACATGCTCAACTTGTCAGCTGCAAAATAACACAATGATTTATTTCCACATGAAGATAAAAAGAAACAGGAAAAGAAATATCTTTTTTTCTGAAGAAAAGGTAATCATCAATTACAAGTGACAACTGAAATATTACAAAAAAAAGAAAAACCCTGTTAGTTGCCAAAAACACTGATTAAATATAAAAAGGTCAGAGAACTATACCACCCTGAAACAGCACGGTATAACAATAATCTGTAAATGAGGTAATTTTTCTAAGGTTTTATATCATAGTGATATATTTTTCCCAGCCATCGCATAATTAGTTTGACAAGAACTGAATGATGGAGTCTTTGCCAAGTCATTCATATCTCTCATATTAAAAAAAAAAAAAAAAAAAAGGAAAGATTTTCACAACCATTGTAAATTATAGACAAAGAAAGCCTAACTATGCAGTTTGTAACCAGCTAAATAGATAACCTACCTTAATATGACTGAATAATACAGTTTCTATTTTATGAAGTAAATACACTATCCTTATTACTCTGTTATGTCAACGTGTTCAAGGCACTCTGCTAGCAAGAGAACTGTTGTGCCCAGTAAACTACCTTTCTAGGATGACTGGCAGATTTTTTGCCTTTGCATTAATTTCTAACTGCCTCAGGCACAGTTTTTGGAACATTTACAAATATATGTCTTACAGAAGAAAGAAAACACTTTTAGAAGGAAAAATATAAATTTGCATTTGGCTGTCTGAATGGATACATTCTCTGCAGTTTCTGTGAAGATATCTGTCTCATTTTCTTCTGGTTTTTAAACGGCACTACTGAGCATCTTGCATGAAGTGACAATTAAGGCAAGGATCTTACAAGAAGGCAAAATAAGAACTGAAAAAGGTGAAATAAAAATGCTTCACACACACACAAAATAACTAAAGTTCTTAATGCAGAGATAGGAAAATATCTTAGAGATTTGCAGATCAAAAGAAAAAAAAAAAACCTGCCAAATAAAAACGAGGTATTTTCACCTCTATAGTAGGCCTTAGTTATTGCGTCAAATTCTTCTTGACCCGCAGTGTCCCATAACATCAGCCTGACATCTTCATCATTAACTCTGAAATAAACGACACAGTTTTGTAATCAATACAGCAAACAAACAATTCAAAACAACTGACATGGAGATATTTCCTTGTCTACAATGTAAGAGTAATTCACTTCAAATTTAACTTTGTTTAAATATAATATAACTTAATATCGATAACGGTTCACTTCTGTAACACGCTATGGCAGTGGTCCCTCAATTATGTTACATGCTCTTTCCTCACAATCCATATTATATTTTCCTTTTCCTTTCCTCCTCTTCCTCTACATGTCCCCCTATCAGGAAAAATAATATAGACTTCAAAACAAAACACAGGTGCCTGAATAATGGTCCTTTTGTCTTTTTAATCAGCTTACAAAATTTAAAGAATTTTCTTACTTCTCACTAGAATAGTATTTTCCATTTTATCAAACATAATTGGGTATTATCTGCTTATACGACATAAAGAGACTAAATCTATAGCACACTTGAATACGTTTTCACAGTATTTTAATCTATATTGGCTAATAGATCTGTGTTATTGTTTTATCATAAGCACTTCCACCTCATCAAGAAATTAAAAAAAAAAAAATCAACAGGTGGTAGAATACAAAGGAAACTTGTCAAAAAGCTTAGTATGACAAAGGTTCCAAATTTTATTTTGCTTTTGATGTATAATTCCAAATCTTGTATGGAAAATAAACTGATATCATTTTAGCCCACTGTGCAAGAGAGAAAACAACTCCCTTTACTGTGCTTTGGAGACAGCAGGCCTTGTTTCAAGCCTCTGTAAATCTCAGGATTACAGAACAAAGAAATAGAGGGAAAGGTAAAAAGCAACAGTATGGTATCTGTCTAATACATACTGGATTTGTCTTTCCAGGAAATCTACACCAATAGTTTTCTTGTAGTCTTTTGTAAAAATCCCCTTGCAATATCGCTGAATCATACTGGACTTTCCAACAGCTCCGTTTCCTACTACCACCACCTTGATGGCCACCTCCATATCTTCTTCCAACATCTTGGCAGCTCAGATGACTCTCTAGCTTATTCAGGAAACTATCAATTCTGTAAACAAAGTAAATAGCTACGTTCATTAAAATGCTGTGAACAGAAAGCAAGAGGAAATACGATCACACGTTAGGATTCACAAAGACTGTACAATTTATTTTCAGCTCTGCCACAGACTGCTTAAATGACCTCAGGCGTTATTTAGCCAGTCTGTACTTTGATTTGACACTTAATTGGAAATTAATACAACTGTTCACAAAAAATATGCTTCCAACGTACGAATGTATTGTCACATGTTGATTACATTCCTGATGCTTCACTGCTAACACATCAAAGATGCTCAACGGATCAACCCAGCACATAGCATGAGCCCGAAAAGTACGGGAACTTCTAACTCCAGCCACTGTTCTCTTACACCCGGTTCAGATACGGTCACCTAACACCAACACTGGCTCTTTGAAGACATGAACCGGTATAATTCTGTGATTATATCACTTACTCCAGTTCCTATGAACTTGACTAAGGAAGTTCCTAAAAATAATAATAAAATAAATTTGTGTACTCTTATCCATTTAATTTTTGGCTTGTGAATCAAAACACTAAACGTATTGACATGACTGAAGATAATACAGTTTCCAAAGGTCTTTTCTTAAACAAGAAATTGAATAATCCAACTGTCTTAAAACATTTTTAAATGTTTAAACTTTTAGATAATTTATCTTATCTATACCCAATGCATCAACACAAGTTATTGACATTTAAAAAGGTTTGCATTGTAAGTCTATTAGGTGTGACCACAATCCCACATCGCACAGCCACTGCAGGGGAGCCACCTAATTTCTGATTTATTTTTGCCCACGTACGCTGTACATTAACTAGAGACGAAGCCAAGCTGCTGCGGCACACGGACAAAGTTCACAGCACAAGCGGTCACAGCGGTCACACAGACTTTCAGAGAAACTAAAATCCCAACGTGCAAAAATGGAAAATAATTTATTTGGCTTACTGTACAGCTATTTCATTCACGTTTTGGTGTTTTGGCTTTGCTTTTTGGTGGGTTTGGGTTGGTTTGGTCACACCCACACCCC